TTCTATATCCTTCCCTTCAAGGCTCAGGGGTCCAAGATTATCTTCTGTGTCTGTGTTAATTGGTTTCCCTTTTCTTTGTTGCAGAGGGTCTGTGCTGTCTTTCTGCCTAGTCCGCCATCTTGCCAGAACCTCTGTTGTCATTTCTTGGCCACAGCCAGTTACCCAGAGGGACTGAGTAGTTGAACCTGTGGGCTCGGGACCGTGATCAATTAGCATAACATACTTCACAAAAACATTGTTCCACATCCTACTTTAGTGAGTAGCAACTAGGATCTTAAAAACTTGCAAGCAGCCATCTAGATTCAATGATGGGTCTCTCCTCGTACAGAGCAAAGAAGAATGAAGAAAACCAAAGACACATGGAAACAATTAGTCCAAAGGACTGGTACACCATGCGATCCTCAGCCTGCATGACTCTGAGACCAGAAGAACTAGATGGTGCCCTGCTATCACTGTCAACCACTTGGAGGGGGATCTATGTAGGAGACCCTGGATAGAGTGGGAGAACAATGTGGAACAAAATTCAAAAATTAAAAAAAAAAAAAAGGACCAGGTTTGCTGGTCTGATAGAGCCTGGTGAAATCCCTGAGACTATGGCCCCTACCTGCTCTTCACATCTGGAATTGAACCCACTCCTGTGGTTTCCAGCCAAACAAAAGACAGGCATATGAGATGAACATTTACATTAGGTAGATACATACACTCCTTGAGAGATCAATCTTGGGAGAATAGAAGGGCTGTGTATGCACAGGGAGACAGCTGGGGTGGGGGCAGGAGCGCATGGGAGGGAAGGACACAGGGAAGAGGTAACTATGGGGAGGAAGTGGGAAGAGAGCTGTTACATTGTGGGAAATTGTAGTCAATGTCATAAGACAAAGTGTATGTGAACTGCTGTATGGAAAATGAATTGGTGAGATTTCATCTCACATATTTTGGACATATTATCAGGAGGGCCCAGCCCCTGGAGAAGTACATCATGCTTGGTAAAATAGTGTGTCAGTGAAAAGAGGAAGGCCCTCAACAACATGGATTGACACAGTGGCTACAGCAATGGGCTCAAACATAGCAACAATTTTGAGGATGGTGTAGGACCCAGCAACGTTTCATTCTGTGGTACGTGCAGTTGCTATGAGTTAGAGCTGACTCGACGGCACCTAACAACAACAGTATGAGCCAGGCTCTATTTCAAGGTGCTGAAGATTTAGTAGAGGACAAAATAGAGAAACATCCTTTCCGTCTTGGAGCTTGCCATGTAGTGAGGAGACAAAGAACAAACAGGATAAAAAGTAAAATATATACTGTGTCTAATTACATTAAGTGTGGAGGAGAGAAGAATAAAGTAGGAAACGAAGACATGAAGTTTGAGAGGAGGGGGTAAATTCTGAGATAGAATAGCCAGGGAAGAAATTTTAGTTAGGGTGTTATTAGCTGCCATTGAATCTGCTGGACTCATGACAACTCAGGCCGCTGTGATGCCTACAGTTTTCATTCGCTGATTTCCAGAAGTAAATCTCAGGGCCTTTCTTCTTGGAAGTTTTCTTTCTGGAAGCTCTACTGAAACCTATTTAACATCATAGCAACACACAAGCCTGCGCTGAGAGATGGTGGTTGCTGAGCATGAGGTGCATTGACCAGCAATACAACCTTGGGTCCTCTGTGTGGAAGGCGGGAATTCTTAAATAGGATACATACTGCCACCTAGTGGAGAGGGATTGCGCCTGGAGGGCTGGAAGGTATCTGAAGGAAATTTATTCCAGGAGGCCAGTGTGACTGCAGTCAAACGGTAGCGTAGTGCCCAAGGCACTTGACTTCTAGCCAGAAGGCTGGAGGTTCAAAGCCAACAGCCACTCCTGGGAAGGAAGGTTGGGTAATCCACTTCCGTAGTGATACTGCCTCGGAAACCCAAGGAGAGGCCCCTACGGGTCTGTCCGACTCCATGGCAAGTAACAACAACAGTGTGCTCTGGTAGCCTAGTGCCTAAGGCATTTGACTGCTAACCAAAAGGCTGACGATTCAAACCCACCAGCCACTTCTCGGAAGGAAGATTGGCAATCTACTTTCCTTAGTGGTACCTCCTCGGAAACCCAAGGAGGGCTCACAAGGAGTTGTATCCGACCCAACGGCAGTGAGTTTGGTTTGCTGTGTGTTTGTTTGTGTGAAGAGGCTACTGCAATAACTTAGGCAAGAGATGGTGGCTCCAAAAGACAAGATAAGGAACAGGTCGGGATTGAAATATAAAATTTTGAGTTTGGACAGTTAACGTTGGAGAAGTAGGCAACTGGAGTTCAGGGAAAAGTCTGGGCTGAGGGCTCTTGGAATTCATACTAGAGTAGAGATCTGCATGTACCACCTCTCATGGAATCAAGGAGATGAAGCCCCGACTCTACCATGTACCAGTAGCAAACTCTTGATTAAACCAATTCCTGATTCTAGGCTTGAGTTTCCCGAGCAGGTAAATGGGAAAATATCCCCACATAACAAGGCCTTCGTGAAAAAGAAATGCGAGTGCCAAAGACTGACAGTAAGTAACGTGACGTCCCAGAGCTACGGGTCGCACATGCCGATCCGGAAGTGAGAAACTGTTGTGGAACCCGACACCAGCTTTCCTACGCACTGCAAATGCTGGGGGGACCCAGTGGCACCAACGAAAAGAAGCGCCACAGTCGGCGCCGCGATGTAGTTTGCATTCCCAAACATCGCGAGATTTGTTGGCAGAGTAAAGTTGCCGTAGGTCCACATCTCGCGAGATCAAGGCGCGTGAGTGGCTCTCCTCCGGTTAGGGCTTGCGGGAAAGATGGAATATCCGGCGTTGGGCGCTGTGGAGGCCTCGGACGGCGGAGGGGCCAGGCCATACAACAGCTCGGAGGAGCGGGAGGGCCGGGAACCGGATGGGGTGCGCTTCGACCGCGAGAGGGCGCGCCGCCTGTGGGAAGCGGTGTCCGGGGCCCAACCTGTGGGGAGGGAGGAAGGTGAGTCCCGGGACCTCAGAGACTGGAAGCCCCACACACCCCTGCTTGTCCCTCGCAGTGTAGTGGGAGCGCCCGGCGAACCGCGGACCAGCTTCGCGGGTCCACAGACATACCCCCTGGCGCCCGGCCCGCCCCTTTCTCGTGACGCGCCGGGGAACTTCTGGGCTCCTGCGCCCCACCGGAGCCGGGTTACTGTGAGCCACCTCCGGAAAATCAGGGTTGCGGTACCCCAAGAATCAAACCCCCTTGCGCAAATTGTCAAGGATCTTCTCACCTACCTTCTCACTCTCAGGCCCCGGGTTTTGCTCTCTCTTCACTCACCAGAGCGCAGCTCTTCCAATGCTTTCCCGCCAGACCTGCAGCGAAGCTGAGTACTCCCTCACCGTTTTTTCTGATTCCCTACCATCCCAGACCCAGGCCTTCCCATCGTTAGCGTGTCTCGTCGTTCTCCTCTAAAGACCCACAGTTCCGAGGCCTCTGAAAGGTCTTCGCTTTCCTCGCATGTTCATTCTATCCTTGGTGACAGCCCTAGCTTACCCCTGTTTCTGGGTGTCCGACGTCTTACTACCGGGTCCTTTTTCTGAGATGGGTGCCAGGAGCCAGAGAAACTGCCCTGGATTTGATTTGGCTCCAGCTTCTTTGTGTCTCATGGTTGTGCCGAAGTTGTGAACAGCAGTGTATACAATACCAACTTGGAGGTCACCTCGGCTGAAGCTTCTCAAGCTTGCTAGGTGTTTGATCTGACACCTGAATAAGATGGGAGATGGAAAGAGGAGTTAGAGCTGGCCCGGACCTTTGCAGCGTCATCTAGTTTGGGCTTCTGTGCAAATCCTGTCAGGTATCTGCAGGGGAATCAGGTTTCTCTAATGGTTTGCTTACTGGGCAGACTAATCTAGAAAATTTAATGAATTGTTTGTGAACTGATTGCTCTGAGATAAAAATAAATCTTTGACCATATCCAAGGCAGGTATGTTTAAATTTGAGGTGGTACATGCAGATCTCTACTCTGATGTGTACTTCAGTTTAATTAAGAACAAGTGTAGTCTGACTCATAAATTAAGATGGGTACTATCTCTGTGTTCCCTTACTCTCTCATGCTTTCAAACTTGTTTGGTACAAAGTTGCTCCCCTCCTGATTTTCTTTTGACAAAATCATTCATTCATGCCTGCTCTGTTCCCAGCACTGGCTGGTCATCAGAGCTACAGAGATGAGAATCGGACTATCCTTGTCCTGGGGAGGTTGGAATCTACTCCAAGAAGCAAACGCCAAAAGTTTCAGTGTAGAGTAATGGTGCAGTGAAGAGGAATTTCTAAGAGTTGGGGGTGCATAAATAGGAAATGACCTTTGGTCTAGGGGTAAAGGGACCTTAAATCAGCAGCTATGAAAAGTGAACTGTCTGGGTATGTCCATGAATGTACAGTGTACTTAAGACCTACTTCATCTTCATAGTCTGAATTATATCCTATTCTCAATTCTCCCTTATTTATATGAGGTCTAGGTGAATACCTGCAGCACCACTTTGGTTGTTTTTTTAAACAGCTTTATTGAGTATAATTTACATACCATAAAATTCACCATTGTAATTGTATAATTCAATGATTTTAAAGTATGGAGTTATATAATCATTACCTCAGTTCAGTTTCAGAACATTTCCATCAGTCCACCTCATTCATTTGCAGTAAATTCCCACTCCCACCACCTGCCTTAGACAACCACTGATCTGTTTTCTGTTTCAGTAAATAATTTACCTGTTTTGGACACTTCATATAAATGGAATCATCCAGTATGTGGCCTTTTGCATTTGGCATCTTTCACTTAATGAGTTTTTGAGGTTCAGTCAAGTTGTGGCATGTTTTAGTACTTCATTTCTTTTTATAGAATTCCATTGTATGGATAGACCACATTTTGTTTATCCATTCACTAGTTGTTAGACAGGAGCTCTGATAGCATATTGCCTAAAGCATTTGACTGCTAACCAGAAGGCTGACGGTTCAAACCCACTAGCCGCTCCTCGGAAGGAAGATGGGGCAATCTACTTCTGTAGTGATACTGTCTCAGAAACCCAAGGAGGGGTTGCCATGAGTCGGGTCCAACTCAATAGCACATAACAACAACAACAGTTGATAGACATATGAATTGTTTCCAGTTTGGTTGTATGACGCCCTCGCAGACCTTTGTGGTATCAGAATCTAAGGGTAAATTATGCTGCTATGAATATTCATGCAAAGTGTGTGGACATAAGTTTTCCTTTCTCTTGGCTGTTTATCTAGGAGAGGAATTTCTTAGTCATAATGATAGCTCTAACATTTTGAGGAACTGCCACACTGATCTAAAGTGAGAGGATGGTCCTGGGGACCCTGGAACTTGCAGCTGATATCTGAATGTAGAGAAGTCTTATAGAGGTTGTTCTTCCCCCTTTGTATTTTGGCAGATTCCATTGCAGTTGTCTAAACTCTGTGTAGCCATAATGATAAAAAAGGTTAATACATCAGAAAGATACAGAAATTATTAATATTAAAATTATTAAAAATTGTTAATGGCATCACCAACAATGTATGTGGGTACCAACTTCTCTACATCCTCACTAACACTTGTTTTTTTTTTTTTTTTTTTTTTTTT